CCAGGTGCATTTTGAGTATTTCCAGGGAAGGAGACTCCACAGCCTCTCTGGGCAGCCTGTGCCAGTGCTCTGTCACCCTCAAAGTTTTTTCTCATGTTCATGTGGAACTTCATGTGCTTGTGACCACTGCCTCACTGCTGAGCACCACTTAAAAGAGCCTCGCTCCATCCACTTGACACTCACCCTTTAGATATTTATAAGCATTGATAAGATCCTTTCTCCAGGCTGAGTTCCAGGTCTCTCAGCCTTTCCTCATAAGGGAGATGCCCCAGGCCTCTATAATCATCTCTGTAGTTCTCCACCAGGCTGCCACCAGCAGTTCCCTGTCTTTCTTGACTGGAGGAGCCCAGAATTGGACACAGTGCTCCAGGTGTGGCCTCACCACAGCAGAGTAGAGGCCACATCTGACTTCCCAGATAACTTTCCAGGTGTAGGGCTCTACACTTGTTGAATCTCATCAGGTTCCTTCCTGCCCAGTTCTCCAGCTTGTCCAGGTCTCACAAAATTCACAGCCTTCTGGTGTGTCAGCCACTCCTCCCAGCTTTGTATCATCAGCAAACTTGTTGAGGGTGCAGTCCATCCCTTTGTCCAGGTCAGTGATGAAGATGTTAAACAAGACCAGACCCAGTACCAACCCCTGGGGGAACACTGCTGGCTGCAGGCCTCCAACCAGACTGTGCTGCTGATCACAACCCTCTGACCTCTGCCTGCAGTGGATGTGTACCTGCCTCAGGAGAGTGTTTCTCCCCATCTTTTGCTTGTGCCATGCTTAGAAGTACTGTGGACACTTTTTCTTCAGCTCTTTGTCCATAGCTTCACTTCCAAAGCCTGGAGGTACTTGGTGTCAGCAAGAGAAGGGTTTGGAAGTGTCTACACAGCTGTATTTAATGCAGGGGCAGCTTCTCACTCTACTGTGCTCTGCCAGCAGAGGCAAGGCGATGGTTGTCTGCTACTCAGGTCCCCTCACTGTTGTCTTGTGTTATCTCCTAGAGACGAAGTGAATAAAGCCTACAGAAAGCTGGCTGTGCTGCTCCACCCTGATAAATGCGTGGCTCCTGGGAGTGAAGATGCCTTCAAAGCCGTGGTGAACGCCCGAACTGCACTTCTCAAAAACATCAAGTAGGGAACAGAGCTGCTGAGAACTGGAAACCTTCCCTTCCTCCCAGCTAATTCCCAGGCAGCTGCACTGCCGTGGGGCACCTCCTTCCTCCTCAGATTCATCCGCTGGCTTGGACAAAGACACTCCCACCACCAAGCATGGGAGCAGAACTGTAGTTTGATTGCAATGAGTTGTAGGGGGGGCAGAGTGCTGAGGAGGGGAGAGGGACCCTCGAGCCTTCCATGCATCTGTGGCCTCAAGTTGGCTTAAGTGCTGAAAGCAGTGATTGCCTTGCCCACTTTCCCAGCTGTTTTACATTTCTCACAAACTACCAGCTGTAGAGGAGGTTGGATGTGCAGCTCTAGCCTCTGGTTGCAGTGAGGGTCGGTTCAATTTGGTTGCAAGGCTATGTGGGATGGAAATGAATGAAGGGTTATGTAAAGGCTGAAGGTGGAATGAGACACATTCAAGCTTCGAGCCTAGTATCTGGCCTGAAAGCTCCTGCACCTGAAAGTGCTGGGGTCATGGGTTAGGGATACTCGGGACAGCAGCCCTGAGAGCTACAGTCCCTCGAGCTGCATGGTCCCTCCTTCCCAGCCCTCTGCTAGCCATCTGCACTGCTCTGACAAACTCTGGGGAAATGCCCTTGTTCCTGGTGTAGGACAGTCCTCAGGTGTGGGTGGCCCTGGCTATTTGCAGACAGATGCCAGGTGCTGACTTCAGGGTCTCTCTATCTTCACCCACACCTCAGAGCTGCATGTTGGTGTCATTGAGAGTGGCAGCTGGCTCTGCAGGCCTGCTTGAGAGGAGCTGAGTCCCTGCACGAGTTACATCCCCAAAGGGAATGTGTTAGGCCTGGCTATGTAAGACAGCACCCCCAAAAATCCAGCACCCCATTCACATGTGCCAGTCTGCCTACCCATTTGGCCCTGTGTCTCCCTCTGGTTAGGTTAGCAGTAGAGGGGCATGTTCTTCCTCAGCCCTGTTTTCTGACAGCAGCAACATGTCACCCTGCTTTGCTGGCTGTGTTACAGGTTTGTTTCTGCCTCACTGATCAGCAGGTGGGTCTGGGGTGCTTCTTCTTAGTCACAGCTGCTGCTTTCTTAGAATATTCTTGTTGATTCAGAGAGGAGCACTGCTGGTAACCCCAGGAAGTGCTTGCAGAAGGTTGGGTCTGGCCACTGGGATCCTGAGAGAGGTCAGAGCCATGACGATTGCCTGACTCAAGTGGGAGATCCCTTGGGATCCTGTGATTTTGTCAGGAGACAGTTTTGTTACCTTGCTGCTCTGTGAGCTTGGCAGAGAAGGACAAGACACTAAGCTGTGAAACTGAAGCCACTGAGTGAGTAAGTGAGTGAGTGAGTGTTTGTGCCCATATCTCACCCCCAGAAATATCCTGTTCAAAAGTTTATTCCAATGGTCAGTGCAATATATATATTTTTTTCACTTAAAGGCAGCTAATCTGTGTTTCCCTTTCAAACTGTATCATAAATCAACAGTAGATCCCCCTCTTCTTGTCAGCAAGCATTAAGGATCTTTAAGGCCAGCACTTGCTTTAGTTTCTGGTGGTAGGTTACTGGGAAGAAGAAACAAGCTGTCCTGCTGAGAAGCACTTTCTGCTCTTCCAGTGTTGATATCACAAGGGGAAATGTTGTCATAAAGGGTCAGTGTTTAAATAGCTCCACGTATCCTCTGCTGTGTGTATAAAGAGCTGGGCTGGGGGACATCAGCAAGACAGGGATTGGAGCTGCAGTATATTGCTCTGAGTCTTGTTCCATGCATTTTATAAGGCTGCAGAGTTCACCGGAAACCTCCCCACTTGCCTGCCAGAGGAAACCACTTGATTCTGGCTTCAGACCTATTTCTCTGCATTTTTTTCCACCGAGGAGGGTAAATAATCCCGTTGCTGAATGGCGCACTTCACTTTCAGGCTGACATCTCAGAGCAGTTTAAAGGCTGCCTCAATTCCCACTACTCAGGGGCTCTCCAGCTCTGCTGTGCCGTGCACGATCCCTCCGTTTGCTTCTCAGGTGACTGCCTGCTGCTGCTCTGGGGTTCCTCCTGTCTGTTTACTGAGCTGACCGGATGTTTGGGGACGATTATACACACGCATGTCACGTCTAACGATGTCGGTGACCTTCTATGTTGTGTTATTTTTATAAATTAACCCTTCCCCCCCCCCCCCTTTGGAACAAAAAAGCCCTATGAGCTGTCCTCCTGTTGTGACTGCTTGCTGTTAATGTTTAATTGCCCTTTGACTCATTTCTCTCCGCCCCAGCTGGGTCTGGCCGAGGCTGGTGGTGAAGAGCTGCCCTCGAGGGTGATGGAGGCTGTGAATCAACTCTGCAGGAGGGGAGCCAGGCTAAGGAGAATGATGTGGCTCCTGCAGGGATGCAATGTGGGATGCAGTGGGGCCTGCAGCTCTCCCTGCCTCCCTTCAGGGGTCCCCTAAACACCCAGAGGCAGAGGGTTGGCTCCATCCTGCAGCATCTCTGCGCTTACAACCCTGCTCATCTGCTTCCTGTGTTGCACCTTCAGGACCCCAAACTCCAGCTCCTTTCAGGAAGGATGTTCCCATCTAGGCTGGCTCTGCACCAGCCAAACCGACTTTCCCTTCAGCATCCAGAAATTCAACAACTGCTTCTAGAGACCACTGAAGGCACAAAGCCTCCATCGGTGTGGCCCACAGGTACTGCCCACCTTCCTCCCAGCACTTGCTGGAGGCAGGAGCTGGGGAACACACGGGCATTTCTGGTCTGACCCAGTGCCTGATCACCCCCAGCCACTGTGTCTGGGAGTCAGGTCTGCTTTGTGCTGCTCAGTTACTCCCCTTCAGCCACAGCAGGACAGGGATAACCCCAAGCACTCCAGAAGCCTCCTGAGGGCTTCAGCACTCTCATTTTGGTATTAATTATTACACAGAAGCAATTACTCCTACTGGCAGTGGAGCCAGGACTGTCTCCCATTACAGCTGCTGGCCCAGAGCTCAGCTGAGGATGCATGGGTATCTGGCAGGGTTCCTTCAACTACAGTCCAGGGCATCTCTGTCAGCTGTGTAGCATTGCCAGTTTTCCAGATCAGGGATGCAAGAGAGGAGCAGGCAATGGAGCAGCAGTGAAACATGAGGGAGAGGGAACTTTTCTGAAGAGGTTTCAATGGGGGTGGTTTGGACAGCCTAGATGAAGGGGACGTACATGTGAGAAAGCCTTGGTTTGCTCTGCTCCTCAGTGGGGATATTGTAAAGTGGCTGTCACTCCAGAGAGGGCCATGGGTAGATGGATGGCCTATGCATCTTTTGAGCTCTGGGTTTGGGGTTCCTGGCACCAAGTGAGGCTGAAGACTTGGTTCAAGAGATGCACATCCTCGTGGAGACTGTATCCCTGGTGCATAGAAGGGGATGGGAAGGACGAAGCAGGGAGCAGCACTGAGTAGAGCAGGCTGGGATGCTGAAGGGGGCAATATGAGCAACCCCACCGGCACAGGAGCATTGCCAGCTACCCAAACCCCAAAGCAGTGTCCTCTGCGCTCCCCAACCTTCCCCACAACCCAGGAAGGGCCGCGAGCGGTACAACCCCTCCCAACCCACCCCCACCTCCCCACCCCGGCGGTACCACGGCCTCCCCGCAGCCGGCAGCGAGAGGGTTACGGAAGGCGGGGACGCACCGGGGCCACACCGGTACGGGCACGACCGGCGGTGGGCTCCCTCCCCCGGCCCGGGGAAGCCCCGAGCGAAGCCCCCGCGGGGCCGGAGCCCTCCGGGATGCGGGAGGAGAGCAGAGGATGCTGCCGGGAGCGGCGGGGCCGCACCTGCGCTGCCGCAACCGAGAGGCGGCGGGGCTGGGGCGGGGGACGGGAGGGAGGGAGCGGAGCGGCGGGGCCGGGGCAGCGCCGGGGTCGCCCCCGAAGCCGGCTGCCCTCGAAGGAGGGGCAGGGAAGGAGGGAAGGAGGCATCGCGACATTTTTCCTCTCCGCGTCGCTCCGCTCGCAGCCAAGCAGTGCGCAGGGGCTGGGCAGGCCGGCTCGGCACGGCTCCCGGCCTTCGCTATTTATAATCCCCATCGCCTCCTCCGGCCGCTCTTCTGCGAGAGGAGAGCCCGGAGAGAACGGCTCCCGGAAAGGAGAGCGACCGCGGAGCTCCGCCGAACGGGGATGCTGAGGGCGATGCCCCGCTGAGCATCGTTTCTCCGGGATCGGAGTGGGAAAAGCATCGCGATGCCGAGGAACAGGGATTTCTCGGAGCCCGAGTACTCGGCCGAGTACTCCGCCGACTACTCGGTGAGCCTGCCGTCGGACCCCGAGCACGCCGTGGGCCGGACCCATGAGGTGACGGTGCGCAGCTCGGGGCCGTGCCTCTGCCTGCCCCGCTTCATGCGCCTCACCTTCGCTCCCGAGTCCCTGGAGAACCTCTACCAGACCTACTTCCGCCGGCAACGCCACGAGACCCTCCTGGTGCTGGTGGTCTTCGCAGCCCTCTTCGATTGCTACGTCCTTCTCATGTGTGCCACGGTCTACGCCGCCGACAAATTGGCCCCAGCGTTGGCAGCAGGGACCGGCTTGGCCGCCCACGTGTTGCTTTTTGCCCTCTGCAAATACAGGCTGCTACCCGAGCGCATCGCCCGTCGCTTCCTGCCCTATGTCCTCTGGGTCCTCATCTTGGCCCAGATCTTCTGCTACTTGGGCCTCAACTTTTCGCGTTCGCCCGAGGCCAGCGACACGGTGGGCTGGCAGGCCTTCTTCGTCTTCTCCTTCTTCATCACGTTGCCGCTGCGCCTGGCGCCCATCGTGCTCATCACCGCCGTGTCCTGCGGCGTCCACACGCTGGTGCTTGGCGTCACCGTCGCCCAACAGAGGCAGGATGCCCTGGATGAGGGCACGCTGCTGAGACAGGTACGGGGACACGGGGACAGGAAGGGGGGTGTTGGGACCCGGGGTGGCATAGGGCGAATCGTGCAATCATCAAGTCATTAAGCTTGCAAAAGACCTCTACAATCACCAAGTCCAAGCATCAACCCGTTACCACCGCACTCAGTCATAAAGAATCATTCAGGTTGGAAAAGGCTTCCGAGATCTCCAAACCCAACCCCAAAGCCTCCATCGTGCCCACTGGCTGGGTCCCTAAGTACCACATCCCCACGGTTCTTCAACGCCTCCAGGGGCGGTGACTCCACCACCTCCCTGTTCCAATACCTCTGCACTCTTTCCCTGATATCTAACCCAAACCTCCCCTGGTACAACTCGAGGCCATTACTTCTCATCCTATCTCTAGTTAGGCTGAAGAGGCCAACTGTGTTCCCATGGCTTAACCTCGTGTTCATGTGCTCTATGCTTTGACCCTAGAGTTTCTTTGATCTGTGTACTCTGAGCTGATGGTGGTGCTTGTTGGATGCAGGGTGCTCTCCTAAAACACCCCCATGGCACCCATGCCACAGACCTGGCCTCAAAGCTACAGATTCAACCCCGAGAGCCACCCAGGCTGTGTAGACAAATGGGCTGTGCTTTAGCTGCTGGGGAAATTGAGGCACAGTGAGCTGAGGGCATCCCCATCCTCCCTGCTAAGGGACCCCACTTGTGCTGATTTCCCCTTAAATTACAAAAATATATTTAAAAGGCCATTTTTAGCCAAAGCCTGGCAGCAGCCCAGCATGGGCCTTCCTCCAGGTCCACAAACAGCCACCAGAGGATTCCCAGGAGGATGGAGCTGGGAGAACTAAATGGCCCCAAGCAGGCACCAGCCCCACAGCCATCAGCCCTGCAGCCACCCCACCACAGGGCTGGGACCCATCGACCCCCCCATGCTGGAGCTCCGATGTGAAGCTGCTCAGCCCCATGCTTGGGGATGCTTTGGGGATGATTTTCTGCCAAAGAAAATGAAAGAAACAGCATCCCCAAGCTCCAATGCTGCCATAGGGATGGGCCACCATTTCGTGCATGGCAGCAAACGATGGGGATGCAGGGGTAGAGTGGTCCTTGGCCTATCACCTCAGTTTTTCCTGGGAAATTCTTGCCTGGAGCAGCTACAGTGTTGTCACTGTTGCCCCAGAGCAATGAGTTTTGCAGCAGGAAGGTGACCCAAGCCCACTGATGTCCCCCATGCCCATCCATCTTGGGTGCTCTAGCAGGCAGCACACACAGCATTTCCAGGCCTGCTAGTAGCACGGCCTTCTTCAGGGGATGGGAAAATAAAAGGCAGAGCTGCAAACTTGTGCAGCAGTGGCTGTTGACAGTGGAAAATCCTGCTGGAAGTGCCCACGCTGCCCGCTCCACATGTGCGCTCCGTAAGAAGATGCTACGGAAACCTGTGCAAGCAGTGGCTTTTCCAGGTTTTGCTCCCTGCTGATTCAAAAAACGCAAACCCAAAGGAGATGCATGCAACAGGGACTCCATCTCCTGCCTTTGCTCCTGGCACTGCAGTGAGATGGTGACAACGTGCCTGGATTTGGGGGCTCTGCAGGCATCCCCCCAGCCAGCAGCGCCTGCGTTCATCATTGCTGTGGCACGACAAGTCTGAGGCCAGCAAAACCTTGGCAACGCCACATGCCTCAGCCTCTGCTTGCTGCAAAAGAGGAACATTATGTCCAGAAATAAACATCATATGCTTTATTATTATGGACATTTGTACGGCTCCCCGAGGGCACTGCTATTAATAGGATGAAGCAGCGGGTGCTGCTTGGACCGGCGCAGCCCAAGAGGGTTGATGAGAAATGCCAGCAGCTTCTGCCCTGCTCCAGCTGTCCAGAAGGAGCCCACAGGCTGAATGGGGCTGGGGGTCTGGGGCTCTGGGTTTGGTGGTGCTCCATGCCGTGAGATAGACAGGATGCATGGGACTCAGTCCATAGAATCATAGAGTCATTAAGGTTGGAAGGGACCTCTGTGGTCCCCATGTCCAACCCCACCCACCCCCATCATGCCCACATCAATCAGTGCCACACCTCTATGCTTCTCGAACACCTCCAGAGATGGTGATCCCACTGCCCCCCTGGGCATCTGTGCCACTGCATCACTGCTCTTTTGGAGAATAAATTGTTCCTAATATCCAACCTGAACCTCCCCTGGCACAACTTCAAGCCATTACCTCTCATCCTACCATGGGGTCTCCATCCCCTGCCTGTGGCTTCATTGTCACTCACTGGGCTGGGCCATTGACTCATCCTCAGTTTGGATGGCCTCCAAGCCTGCAAGACACTGGTGGGGCCAAAGGAAAACGGCACGGTCTGCAGGCCCACCTTGGAGCACCTGTTGGATGCTTTGGGAGTTGAGCATCCCTGGCACAGCGCAAGGATGTGCTTGGCTGTGGTATATGGCCACGCGATGTGGGGTTTTGGGGTAGGCATGTCTCCATCCAGGCGGGGTTCCCAGTGACCCCATGTGTGCCGAACAGTGCTGAGCTCGGCAGAGCGGTGCATTGTCATGACAACTGCTTAAAAATAGAGAGAAGCGGCTGGTTTGGGGGTTTCTTCTCCGTGCCCACCTCCAGATGGTTCTCACTTGCCAGCTGCCACACAGGGGCTTCCCGGGAATCCCGAGCTGCAGGGATGGGGGATGGGCACAAGCCGGAGAGCTGGGCTTTGGGATGCAAGGCTGGGGAGTAGGGGTCAGGAGGTGGACACTGAGCTTGGTGGCAAGTCCCCAATGGAGACAGACTGTCACTTAGCCTGTGCTCTGGGATGGGAGAGCTTCTCCATGTCCTGAGAGCTGCCTTCAGCAGAGCTGCAACCTGCCATCATGTCCTTCCTGCCACACTTAGCCTTTCTAGACTAAACAAACTGAATTCTTTCAACTTTCACTTTCATACTTTCCATGAAGGGCTCTTGCTCTTTTTTCCATGGTCCCATTGACGGGGTCTGACCTATGGGTCACCATGCTCACAGCAAACAGAATGGATTTTCATGGCCAGCAGCACCTGGGCACATCCACCTTTCATACTGCCACCTCATACCATAGGTTTTGGCAGCTGGAAGGGATGGGAGCGTGCACATGTTTAGGGTTTGGCCATGTTTTCATTAGTTTCTACACTTCAGCCCCTGCGTAACTGTCCCCAGGGCAGCTCCTGCCCCTGTGGACCCACTGCCATTTTCCAAAACATCTCTGCAAAGTTTAATGAGGCAGTCAGCCCTCAGGGGCCATGAGGTCTCTTGTCAACCTCTCCTGCAGAGCCACCGCTTCATGGCAGTGAAGTGAGTCCCCCCAGCAGTTATCCATAGCACAGAGGCTTGCACCCAGATTTGATTTCGTCTTCCATCATCAGAATGCTTTCTCACCCCAAATCATCCCCACAGATCCTGTCCAACATTGCCATCTACCTTTGTGCCATCACGGTGGGCACCATGTCCTACTACATGGCTGACCGCAAGCACCGCAAAGCCTTCCTGGAAGCACGGCAGTCCCTCGAGGTCAAGCTCAACCTGGAGGAGCAGAGCCAGCAGCAGGTAGGAGCCGTGGCTGGGGACAATATGGGGACAGCAAGATGGGGCACAGGTGGCTGACAACAAGGATAAGAGGACCAGAAGTGGGAATTGCGTTTCAGTGAGGACTCACCATGTAACTGTCCTCTTCCAAGACCTCACAGCTTCTGACATGGCCACTTCCAAACTGTCCCCATTCCCATGGCAAGTCCCCAGCTTTGGGCATGGCCATGCTGTCGATCCCATTCATCAGGCATGGACACATGGCATGTCCCTTTGTTTGGGCACGTCCATGTGGCATGTCACTGTCCTTGGGCAGAGCCATGTTGCAGGTCCCCAGGCATGGCCAGGCTGCACCATCACTGGACGTAGACACGTGGCTGGTCCTTGTCCTCAAGCATGTGTCCATGATCACAGCTATACAGCAGGTCCCTCCCCAGTCACAGACACTTGGAATGTCTCTGTCTATAGACATGGTCGTATGGCAGGTCCTTGTCCTCAGGCATGGCCATGCAGTATGTCCCTGCCTTGTGCACAGTTCCCATCTTTGGGCATGGCCATATGTCACGTCCCCATCATCCAGTGTGGCCACATAACATTTCTCTGTCCCTAAATAATGGCCACACAAGAAGTCTCCATGTCCCCATCACCAGGCATGGCCCTGCAGTGTTTCCCCATCCCCAGCCAGCAATGTCCCCATTGGGATCTTGGCCACCTCACTTCTCACGGGGCTGATCCTGCTGTGGGGACAGGAGTGATAACAGCAGGTGGAGAACCTGCACGGTGTTGACAGAAGGCAGTTGGAAAGCTTCATTTTCTCCAGCCAGTATCCAGTTATGAGCCCAGCTAATTTTAGCACCTTATCTGGGGCCTCTCTCCCCATCTCCCATCTCTTATCTCGTTGATCCGTTGCCAGCAATTTGCTCCCAATGGCAACAGAGATGCGTGTTGGGTCCAGCCCATTGTCAGCACTGTGTTTCTTGGGGTGGGAGGACACCAGCACAACACCCACATCACAGGGAGCACTTTGTGGCCTTTTTCCCACCAGCATTGCCCCATACACTGGCTGGTCAGTAGCTTTGAAGCTTGCAAAGCGACTGGGTGAATTCAGGGTTATTCAGCATCAAGCCCCAGTGGACATCTTGGGAAATCCCTGACTCCTTTCCTTGCAGCAGTGTCTCACTGTGTGCTGTCTGTATGGTGGCAGCTCTGAAAGCCACAGGCGGGGACATGGAGCTGTTCCTCCAGCAACAGCCCCATTGTGCACAGAAACCCGGGGGAAAACCCACTTCATTAACAATGTTAATTACACATAGCACAGATCCTCACGTGCAGCCAGATGGGGGATGCATCCCCTTTCCAGCTGCAGGGCTGTGGGGAAAGCAGGGAGTATGATGTCCCCCATTGGTTTACTCCTCCTTGGGGCCAGTGCTGCTGCCCTATGGGGTGGCATGTGGACACACCATGCCTTTAAATCAAGAGATCCTCCATGGTGTAGATGTCCCATCCCCAGGGCAGTTTGCAGGGACATAAAATCAGAGTCATTCAGGTTGGAAAATACCTCCAAGATTCCCAAATCCAATCCCAGCCCACCCCACCATGTCCCTCAGTGCCACATCCCCATGGTTCTGAACCACCTCCAGGTTTGTTGACCCCACCACCTCCCTGGGCAGCTGTGCCACTGCATCACTGCTCTTTTGGAGAATAAATATCTCCTGATATTCAACCTGAACCTCCCCTGGCACAACTTAAGGCCATCACCTCTTCTCCTCTCACTAGTAGACATTGCTGCAGACCTTCTAGTGCTGGCATGGGTTTTTGGGCTGACCTTTGCTACTCTGTCCGCATGGAGAGGGGGCTGCTCAGAACAGCACATGCACAGTGCACTTACACTCAGCTTCCTGCCCTGTCCCCCAGGAGCGGCTGATGCTCTCCATCCTGCCCAAGCACGTGGCGGATGAGATGCTGAAGGATATGAAGAAGGACCCGAGCCAGAAGGAGATGCAGCAGTTCAACACCATGTACATGTACCGCCATGAGAATGTCAGGTAGGGCTGGCTCCTATCCATTCCATGGTCAATGGGGAAAATCTCTCAATTTCTTGTATTTAGGGCCAGAGAAGCCCTAGAAGGAGACTGGGGGGGAGGAGGGGGTGGTGGTGGCTAAAGCAAAGGGTAACAGGGGACAGCTGCCAGCCAGACTATGGCTTGGGGCCACTTTTTGATCCAGACATGATTTGCAGAGCATCATTTCCAGCCACGTCCCAAAATAGCCTGTAGGGACATAGCTGAACCGATCGTCGCAGACATGTCTGCGTTATGGGAAAAGAAATTCTCGCTGCAAATTCTCCCCGTGAGGAGCATATTTGTAACACCTCGCTCCCCACAGCATCCTCTTTGCAGACATCGTGGGCTTCACGCAGCTCTCCTCATCCTGCAGTGCCCAGGAGCTGGTGAAGCTCCTCAACGAGCTCTTCGCCCGCTTCGACAAGCTGGCAGCCGTGAGTGTCCCCGCTCATCAGCAAGGGGATGGGCTGGAGATGCCCCATGTTGTACTGGCAAAAATAGAACGGGGAAGGGGTGGGGGCCTCCACCATCTGGGCTGCAGTTGGCCAAATCTTCAGGGAGACAGGGAGGGAATGGAAAATCAGATTATTTGTGTCCCTTGTGAGCATGGAAGAGCTCGGCATGGGCAAGGATGGAGCAAGCCCTGCCTGGGAGAGAGATGGGGGGAGCCCAGCCAGGGGGAGGGAGCTGATACCATGCCCCTCTCCCCAGAAATACCACCAACTGCGCATCAAGATCCTGGGTGACTGCTATTACTGCATCTGTGGGCTGCCTGACTACCGGGAGGACCACGCTGTCTGCTCCATCATGATGGGGCTTGCCATGGTGGAGGCCATTTCGTAAGAGGATTGTCCCCACGGTGTTCTTGTCATTGTTCCCAATATGTCCTCATCATCGTTTTCAGCATAACTTAGAATCATAGAATGACTTGGGCTGGAAGAGACCTTGAGTTGGAAGGGACCTTGAAGCCCAACCAGTTCCAATCCCATGCTGTAGGCAGGGATACCTCCCATAGACCAGTCTGCCCAAAGCCCCATCCAGCCTGGCCTTGGGCACTGCCATGAACGGGGCACCCACAGCAACCTGTGCCAATACCAATGATAGTGTCCTTGTCCTCATTCCCATTGTGTTCTTGTCATCATTTCCAGTACATCCTCATCGTGTCTATCGTGTGCTGACCACTGTCCCAAGGGTGTCCCTGGGGTTTCGCAGAAGGCAGGGAGGACCCAGTGATGGATACTGATATAGGCAGGGGCTCCCCAGTGCCCCACCAGGGTCACCCCATTGGGCTTCTCCAAGGCAGGACACCACCCTACCCTTTTCTGTCTCCTCTCCTGTACCAAGTACCCTCAATTAAGGAAAGTGTTATTGCCCTGGGGTTGGAAGCAGAAGGGGCAGCGAGTGACTCCCATGTCACCCTCCCAGTTACGTGCGGGAAAAGACCAAGACAGCAGTGGACATGCGTGTGGGAGTGCACAGCGGGACGGTGCTGGGCGGCGTGCTGGGCCAGAAGCGTTGGCAGTACGACGTGTGGTCCACCGATGTCACCGTGGCCAACAAGATGGAGGCGGGTGGCATCCCTGGGTGAGCATCTCTTGGTGGGGATGAGACATGGTGTCACCATCCCATACCCATAGGGTAGCCCCAGTTCATGGCACCTCGTGTCCCGCAGGCGTGTGCACATCTCTCAGAGCACCATGGATTGCTTGAAGGGTGAGTTCGAGGTGGAGCCAGGCGAGGGTGGCTCTCGCTGCGAGTACCTGAAGGAGAAGGGCATTGTCACCTACCTCATCGTGGTGCCCAAGCAGCCTCTACGCAATGGCATCAATGGGGTGGTGAGTGGTGGCGTGAGCACCGGTGCCACCGCAGCAGGCGTCCTTGGCACATTGTGAGCCACCGCCTCGGCCTTGCAGAAGCTGTCACTGACCTCATCCCACGGAGGCTCCCCGCTGCTCATCAACACCAAGGAGCGCAATGGCAGTGCCAGCTTGGCGTGCACCAGCCCGGAGGAGCCTGATGAGTCCGACGCCAGGGTGAGGGGCACCCTGGAGAATGGGGAGGAGGATGGAGAGGTACGGTGCGTGGGAAGCACCCCCTTCAGCTTGTATTTTGGGGACTGCCGTGATGATCACACCACGATGGCCTCAGCGTTCCCACTGATGCTTTGCTTTGTGGCACAGGCTGTGAACCCATCCTTCCCCAACCCGCGGCGCCGGCTGCGGCTACGGGACCTGGCTGAGCGGGTAATCGACGCGTCGCAGAATGAGCAGGAGCTCAACAAGCTGCTCAACGAGGCCCTGCTGGAGCGTGAATCTGTCCAGGCGTGAGTCACCCAGCCGGCGGTGCGACCCAGCCCAGCCCTGTTGGGTGCTGATGGCCAATGTTGCTGGCAGGCTGAAGGGGAAGAGCACCTTCCGGCTCTCCATGCGCTTCACTGACCCTGAGATGGAGACGCGCTACTCAGTGGAGAAGGAGAAGCAGAGTGGTGCTGCTTTCAGCTGCTCCTGTGTTGTCCTTTTCTTCACTGCCTTGGTGGAGGTCTTCATCGACCCTTGGTATGGTGGGGAGACATTGGGGATGGATTGCCCCAGCTTGCCTTCAGCCCCGCAGGGCTTCAGATCGGTCCCATCCTGGGTCTTTTTGCGACAGGTTGGTGGCCAACTACGTGACCTTCGTGGTGGGGGAGATCTTGCTGCTCATCCTTACCCTCTGCTCACTGGCTGCCATCTTTCCCCGGGTGAGAGCGGGATGGGCAGCCTCAGGAGGGGGGGACACTGAGGATGGGTGAGGTTTGGGGGCTGCTCTTTCCCCCAACACCTTCCCCGTTTATATTTTGTGCCACCCCATTATTGCTATTTGTTCTCTCTATGGCCACCGTGATGTTGTGTCCCACCTGGGTGAAGTCCCTTGTCTTCTCCTGGCAGGTCTTCCCCAAAAAGCTCGTGGCCTTCTCCACCTGGATTGACAGGACTCGCTGGGCACGCAACACCTGGGCCATGGCTGCCATCATCATTGTCACCATGGCTGATATTGTGGACATGGTGAGACATGGGGTCAGCGCAGGAACCCTCTCTGACCTTCCGTGTCCCAGCAGCCCATAATTGTGCAAAGTCCCATGCACAGCCAATTGTTAAATCAATGAGGGCTGTGCTGAAGCTGGGGAGGATTTTAACACCTGGCAGTTGGGGTGTCCTCTTCTCTCCCGCAAAATACTCCAGCTCTTGGGGGGACATCGTCGCTCCCTGCCCCCCGTCCTCATCCTGCCCTCATGCCCCCAGCTCAGCTGTCAGCAGGACTACAGTGGGACAGGCAATGGGACGGTGGTGCCACCACGGCCAGGCGGCTGTTGGGAACAGCCCAAGTACTACAGCTACATCGCCGTGCTGGCCCTGGTGGCCACCATCATGCTGGTGCAGGTCAGCCACATGGTCAAGCTGACTCTCATGGTGTTGATCACTGGGGCAGCCGGCACTGTCAACATCTACGCCTGGGAGCACATCTTCGACCAGTACGACCGCCGCCGCAGCCAGCAGAGCATGTAAGGGGTGGTAAGGGCATGGTGAGGGGGCACGGCCCAGCTCACCACCCACCTACACCTTGCCACATCCCCCAGCAGGTCCTCACTGGTCCCCTCCAAGTACTCCATGACAGCCATGATCTTCATCGTGATGCTCAGCTTTTACTACTTCTCTCGCCACGTGAGTGACTCAGCCCTTTTAGGAGGCCCCCTTTCTTCCTTCCTCTCTGGGTTGTTACTGCAGCCCCAAGCCTGGTTTCTGCATGCTCCAAAGAAGCTCGGTTGGTCCCCAACTGTGGAACCACCTGCAGCTCTTCTCCACGGAAGCCTAGGACTACATTGGCACCTCCATCTCCCCCAAGATTTAGAGCAGGCAGCATCATAGTGGCTCCAGACCCCATGCTTTCCCCATGAAGGTCCCATTTACCTCTCACATGAGGTCTTATGTCTCCCATTACGGTTTCACCTTGCCCCATAGCCTCCATCCAAGCCCGGCTCAGCCCCACACCAGCTGGCATGCTCCTAGTGCTGGTGAGGCCCTGCTGCACCCATCTCCCCCTGCCTGCAGGTGGAAAAGCTAGCCAGGACACTCTTCCTCTGGAAGATTGATGTCCATGACCAGAAGGAGCGGGTCTATGAGATGCGGCGCTGGAACGAAGCCCTTGTCACCAACATGCTGCCCGAGCACGTGGCCCGGCACTTCCTGGGCTCCAAGAAGCGGGATGAGGTGAGGGGCACCCAGGAACACAGACCTTCTGTCCCACAAGCAGCATCCCCAAGAGTCCTGGTTAAATTTAGTGATTCAACTCGGTTTTTTTTTTGTTCATGGCCTCTGTATTTGGAGAGGTTACCAAAGACACTAGTCAAGCATCTTTGGTTGGATGGAGGCAATTTCTTGGCCTTGCACAGGACTGCAGAGCACCCTTATTTTTTCAGATGGAGGAGGGTTGGGTTTGGAGGTTTCGGGTTTGCTGGAGGTGCAGACACATCTCCATCTCCAGCTGACAACCACTGTCCTTCCCCTCCCCAGGAGCTGTACAGCCAGTCCTACGATGAGATTGGCGTCATGTTTGCTTCTCTCCCCAACTTCGCCGACTTCTACACAGAGGAGAGCATCAACAATGGGGGCATCGAGTGCCTGCGGTTCCTCAATGAGATCATCTCTGACTTTGACGCAGTGAGTTGGGCTGGAGCTGGTCATGGGGGCAACATAGGGCTTTGGCCAGTGGCCTCAGGCACCTGAAGATCTATTCCTGTGGTTCAGCTCCTGGATGAACCCCAATTCCGGTGTATTACCAAAATCAAAACCATCGGCAGCACCTACATGGCTGCGTCTGGAGTGACCCCTGATGCCAATGCCAACGGCTACAGCACCAAGGTAAGGGGTCCCTGTGGCAGGGGATGGTGGGCAAAGGGGGACATTCCTGACCTACTGCTCTTGCAGAAGGAGACCCTCTCGGATAAGGAGCGCTGGCAGCATTTGGCTGACCTCGCCGATTTTGCCTTGGCCATGAAGGTGACACTGATGAACATCAACTACCAGTCCTTCAACAATTTCATGCTGCGCATAGGCAAGTCTGGGAACATGGGGCTCTCTCCTCCTTCCCAGTGAGTGGTGGGACCTCATGAGGCCTGGGGTGACCTCATGCCCTGTCTCCCAGAGCACCTGGGAGTCCCATCTGGATGTCACCAAGCACAGAGGTGACACCCACCCTGCTCTTGCACAGGCATGAACAAGGGAGCTGTTCTAGCAGGAGTCATTGGTGCCCGCAAGCCACACTATGACATCTGGGGCAACACAGTGAACGTGGCCAGCAGGATGGAGTCCACTGGTGTGATGGGGAACATACAGGTGGGACAGCACAACCTGGGCAACCAAGGGGACAAACTGAGAATTATTCAGAAGTGTTCACAGCCCTTGAACTGCACTGTGCTTTGCACAGGAAGGGAAAGCACTGCCAGCAGTATTCAGCAGGGCTGGGAGTGGTTGACAGCTCCTCCAAGCTGGGAATGGGGCAAGGTGTTGCTAAAAGTAGGGCACCTGAAAACAATGGGCAGCTTGGTGGGTGGATAAATCTGTTGCCTAAGCAGCATATGGGGGTCTATGCTCCCTATGCTGTGTACTGGGCAGGGTCTCCCCAGCCTCCCACTGTGTCTGTTTGTCCCTGCAGGTGGTAGAGGAGACGCACCTCATCCTGAAGGAGTATGGCTTCCGCTTTGTACGCCGTGGGGCCATCTACGTCAAGGGCAAAGGGGAGCTGCTCACTTTCTTCCTCAAGGGCCGGGAGAAGCAGGGCTCCTTCGTCAACGGCTCATCCGTCACCCTGCCCCATCAGGTGGTGGACAGCTCCTGAGGGCCCGGCGCCTGCCAGCCAGCACAGCCACCGCCTCCCCAGCACCCAGAGGGGCGGCCAGGGGGGCCCAGTGCCCACCACCACAGCCAGCAGGGACATCTGTCCCACTGAGGTCCAGATCTGAAACCAGACTTGAGAAATCAACCCCTTTGCACAACCCTTTCCCTGCTGGAAAGTTCCTTCGCTCCATCGTGCCTGCACACGAGCTCACAGCCCTCAGTGGATGTGGGGCTGGGGCTGCCTTTCCCCAGGCAACCCAGGGCTTTGCAGGGTGGGCAGCAGTATGGCATCCAAGTAGCATTGTGGGCCCCAGCTGCCATGCACTCAGCACAAGGAGATCCAAACTCAGGGTCGGATGGAAAGACACGTCTCTCCTACACACAGGAGCATCCGGGCTTTGCTGTTAGTCCATACCGAGTTCATCCTTGTCACAAACAACATAGTTAGGAGATCGGGGAGAGAGAGTGCAGTACCACCTTGGGCTCAGAAAAAAAAAGAAAAAAATACAAAATATTGTGTATTTCAGATATATAAATATATATACATAAGAGTACAGATTGACATTTATATTTTTAACTGTGCCTGTTCGCCCCCCGTGCACGCTGTGGTCAGCTGCTGTCACTGCTTGATGGAAGAGAGGACCTGGGACTGGCTGAGAAGGGACTGTGTTATTCAGCGTGACACTGCCAGGGCCAGGGGGAGAAGGGAGGCACACAGAGTGTAATTATGCCACTAGTTTCTTGAATAGAAAGCAGTTGAATTTCAAAGCCTGGTTCTGCGTCTGCTGTGTTTTGGGGTTGTGGGGATGCTGAGAAAGGCTTCACCACCTCTTTGAGGGGATACTGGGTTGGGAGGGGGTCCCAAAGGGGAGATTGATGCCTCTGGTGGCTTTTGCTCCTTTCTCTTGTTGCAGAGTATCAAAACACTGGAAATCACAGAAAGAATGATACAAGATTTTGATCCCAACCCCATTACTCAATTCCCAGGGTCATCAGGAAATTGTTACCTGGAGCTGCAACATCCGAAAACCAGAGGTTATATATAAGCCATTTGGACAAAGCTTAAACTACAGAAACAATTTAAAAACAAACTATAAACTTTGCACTTGCAGTGTTGGCACAAAAACGGGGCAGGAGAAAATCCTCATGTCCTAGCCATGTCCTATGAGTCTAGAAAAAAATCAATAGAAGAAGATTCTTAAAAATACCACAGTAAAAGTTCTACGTTACTGAAATTAACACATTGAAAGAGTGCTCATAAAAGTACAGCAAGCTTTTAAGATCCGATCCAAACTTGGAAGCACAAAGATGGGATGCCAGGAAAGTTCTGCCATGACAGGAAGAAAACAAGATGTCCAAAACCACCACTGGTGTGAAACCTTCTGGAAAGCTCAGTACTAATGTGCTGGGGGAGTTAATGCAGCCCACGTGAGGGCACAGTCTGCTGCTGGCAAAATGAAACCTCACCTTTGTCCAGGGGAGGTTCAGTGGCTGCCATAACAATCCTGGTTATCCTTCAGCCTCTACCAGTTTCTAACATGAAGTCCTTTCTTGGCTTTTATAAGGAGGGCACAGATTACTCCGCTTGCTCCCTATTGTCCGAGTTCTGCTGCCTGGATACATGCAGTGGTGAGCTGTAGGGTTCTTGTTCCAAAAGGTTTTCTGAGCTGTTGATGTTTTAATATAGCTTCTCCTTCTAATTGTGAGACATTCTTCATAGCCGTGGAGCTCTGGGGCACCAAACACTGTGATGCATCACGAGAAGGAATTAAATGACAAGCGAGAAGCAGAGTGCTGAGGAAAGATTACCTGCAATAGACACCCAAAATCATCAAGGAAATATTGCTCTCAAGATTTAAACTGGGCCAATTGCTCCTCTGGGTGATTCCCTGCAGCAGTGCCGCAGTCCATGGCAAACATTTGCATTTTGAGAGCATTCCCCACAGGCAGAAGTAGTCGGGAGATGCACGTTACTGAGGAGAGTCAAGGCAGCTTATGGTGCTCAGTCCTGGCTTTCTTTAGCATTGATGATAGAGTCGAAGGCTTTGTGCAGAGCCATCTGTCGAAATGTGTTTGAGTGAGCTGCTGCCACCTTTGCTAGGAGTGAAAGAGTGCCAGCTAGGAGACAGAAGTAAATGTATCAGTGGGGAGAGAAACACAGTTTTACCAGCATAAAACTATTCGCTTCTCATTCTTTCCTTTCCCCTAGGGAGTTTCCTCCCTGGCCACAGTTTTTCTTCTCATAACCCTTCTTTCTCCTTCCTAACCCTTTGTGTCCTGCATCTCCCCCAGGGGAACTGAACTGCTACAAAGCACAAACAGCACAAGAAACACAGAGCTGAAGGGCTGCTCATGAAGGGACAACAGTGTGAGAGCACCTCAGCCACCCAGCTGCCTTATCAGCTCAAAAGACATTGATGTTTTTGAGCAAGTGCAGAACTTCACCTATAAAGGGGTCATTTCTGTGGGGAAAGGAAAGGAGGAGCTGTTGATACAGTGCACAATTCCTTCTGCAGCTTAGCTGCAACACAATGAGTGTCACAGCTGGGTTCTGCTGCCAGAAGGAGGCCTCAGACCATGACTGCTGGCAGAGTCTCTCTCTGCTCAGAGCTCCATCTAGCTTTCCAGCCTAGCCAGCCCACATGGGCAGGTGAATGGGATGTGAGGTGGCTCAGGTGGGCCCACAGCTCTGCACAACCATGAGGAAGAGATGGGAAAATGCCTCCTCAGCTCAGTTGGGCATTTGCAGTAATTAGTCATAAAACAGCATAGATTGGGATTAAGCCATGTCATACTGCTAAGGCTGCAGAAGACACTCAGTATCAGCCAGTCTGTACAACACCAGGAGGAAGTAGCATCATTCAAAAGATGGGGGAGTAAGTGGTACCAGGAAAGGTTTCCAGGCAGAGATCTTTGTTAGGAGCATTTCACAATCTCACTGATACTTTGAAAGAAGTTGTAAATCTCTCTCCTGCCTCCATCTATGCTACTGTATGGCAGGATGTGCCAGTGTGGTACAAGGATGGTACAATGTGGCCAATTAGGGCCTGGCTTCACAGTGTGAAACAACCCAACAGTAGGCCTCAGTGTCTACCTTTATCATTTTTCTAATTGCTCTGAAAGAAATTTCTCATGATAATAAGATCTTGTCTTATTTCCTTGCCACTATCCCCCATGCTACAAAAAAAGATCTTTCCTCCCAAAGAAATATGACAGCATGCTTCTTTCTGTTCCCAAACTGAACTAGAGAAGAACTCATCCACTGCAGTACGGCCTGCCCTCCCCACACACCCAGACACCTGCACTGCCCACTTACGTGTACAAGAAATGATGGCTTCAGTAGGGAGGCTGCAACAGAGGTCTCTATAAAGCAGCCTCACATTGAATGGAAAGGTCTTGCTGTCACTTGACACGGTGTAATTAAAGACCAGCAAGTTACACAAAGAGTTCCTCTGCAAAGTTCCTTCTATTCGGTCTGAAAAGTGCTCCTGAAGGGACAAAGACAATTTTTGAAAGACAAAGCTAGGGCAGGAGTCCATCACTGTAGGGCTGGGAGCTAACAAAGGACAGTGGCCCCACCCCCTGCACCAGGCTGGCATGCCCTGTTGTGCTGTACCTTGAAGAAGCCTTGAGAGGGAAAGTCTGAAATAAACAAGTGCTCATTTACATCTTTAAGTCACATCCTCCAGAGGCATTTTACAAAAGCACAGCTCCTTCAGTTTAGGGACCTCTGAGGAAGAGGACAGCTTTCCTTGCACTTGGCTGTGTATTTTAAACGAGCCACAAGACATCCAAATATACATGTACTAATGACACAGGAGTTTACAGCCATGCAGTCATTTGCTGTGCTCTGAAAACCAGAATGGTGAGCGCTCCATATAAAGAAAACCACTTAGATTTCCCCCAGCACTCCAGAGCTGTGCACACTCATTAACATTTGGTAGATAAAAAGCAAAAAGATGGGCAAGCATTGTTGCTGTGACCACTGGTACCTCCAACTGGTCTGCCTGGTGCCTCCGCCCAACGTAAGCATTCAGGTGGTCAGACAGGACGGATAGGAAGCGCCTGATGTCCGTCTGCAGGTATTTCTTGGCTATCTGCTCCAGTGGGATGAAGATGGGGACAGAGTGGCGTTGAATCTTCACCTCTGGCTTGATGAGGAGGTCCACGTAATAGGAATCCAGGTAGGTGCCTTCATAAGCAGTGCTGATGCAGAAACATATTCCCTGCTTGGTCAGCTTCCCACTGATCCCTTGGGTGCAGAGAGAGAGGTTTTACTGAGCACTGATAGAAACTTGTCACCTCAAGGAAGTTTTGCTGGGACAGCACAGGCTGCAGGGGCTGTATGCTCTTAGCATGGCAGCCTGGGGAGGTCCATGGGAGGATTAAGGACTTGCAAGAGTTCAGGGACATAAAACACAGCAACTTTTTACAAAGGGACATCAGATAAATTCAAGCAAATTGTCACTAACTGAGCTATGCTGACACTTCAAACTCAGTACTGACTCCCACAGTGCAGAACAGGATGCCCTAAGTGAAAGAAAACAGCCCCAAAAAGAGTGGCAAAAGGACTCATGGGCTCAACCTAACCTCACCAACATAAGATTTGTATTCCCACACTGTCCTTCCAGTGACTGGAACAGAGTGCAAAGGTGACTTGCATTGGTAACAAATAAAAAAGTAATATATTAAACCAAGCTCAGGAATAGCTGAAAAGAGGGTGCTGGCATTCTAAGCTTGCTTAGAAGACCCAGACCCTTGAATATTTAACCTAATGCCCAAAGATTTTAAAACTAAGGCATTTACATGCTAAAATCTAGATCTTAGTCCAAATGATGCAGCTCAGTAAGCAAGAGTTTCTGCAAAATCCCAGAAGCCTTCCCTGAGAGGGAGAAAATTGCAGCATTACTGCTCTTCCTATGCTTACAGACTGAAGGCTTCAAGCACAACACAAGCAACATTAATAGGGAAATTGCACTTCACATCAAATTCAAAATTTATTCAAAATTTAGCATCCCAAAAATGCAGCCATCAGCAGAACACACGCAAGTCTTGAGGCATTACCTGTGAGGTAAAAGACTTGCAGCATGGCCTTAATGCTCTTCACTTTCCACTCCAAAACAGTCTGAGCACTGGGCCGTGCTGGATCTGTCACAACTCCTTCCTTGTCAAGAAGCTACAAAAGCCAAAAGATGAGACAGGTCAGGAACTGACAACACCAAACATGTCACTTGCAGGGAACACACTCGAGCTACAGAGAAATAACCCAGCTCTGAGAAATGTGAGGCAGCATTTCAAACTGAAGAAGGGAAAAAGAGTTCATAAATGGCCATACAACCTCAAAACATAAAGATCCAGCAGTCCTGGACAACACTGTACCGAGAACAGGGGATGCCAGAACTGTACATTACTTAAAAAGAGAAAATAAATTAAGAACCTCAGTAAATCCATCTGTGAGAGCAGGAGCATACCAGAGCCCCTCTGTCAGATCTCTGCAGCAAGCCCTTTCTCACCCTCTTCTCCTGCAGCTCCACTTTAGCCCGCAGCTCATCCCTCCGGGTTCTCAGCTCCTGCACTTTGGCTTTCAGTCTGTTGAGCTTCTTTTCTTGCTGCTCCTTCTCTTCTTGCTTCAGGCCTAACTCATGAGCCTGTGCCTCCAGCATTTCCAGATAACCCAACACCCCTGCAAGGAACAGCAACACATGCTCAAAAATTCAGCTGTCATTAGTTGGCATCTGCACAGTGTGACACAAACCAAAGTTGGCCCAGTATAGATACTTAAAGAAATTATTTACAACTCCTCAGGGGCAGAGGACAGGCAAAGACCTGCTTTAAGGAATTTTAAACACCAAGACTGAATGCCAGTAGGCAACAAAGACCAGGTGTTTCCCATATTAGCTAGCTAACATCCTGAGAAGCAGAGTAAGCTACCAAATACACAGCCCTGCACAGATCTGCAACCTCAAGTTTCATTTCGAACCAAGAGTAGCTTGTCTGGTGTGCCTATACTCTAAATTTGGGACAAATCATAACAAGCCAGGTGTCACTCCTGGTCCCAAGCTCCTGTGAGAGAACATACTTGGACAGAATCATAGAATCAACCAAGCTGGAAAAGACATCTAAGATCACCAAGCTCAACCCCAACCCATCCCACTATGCCCACATCCCTCAGTGCCACATCCCCACAATTCTGGAACGCCTCCAGGGATGGTGACCCCACCACCTCCCTGGGCAGCTGTGCCACTGCATCACTGCTTCTTTGGAGAAGAAATGTTTCCTAATACCAACCTGAAACTTCCCTGGTCCCATCACTGTTACCTGAGAGCAGAGGACAACCCCCATCTCAACACAAGCGCCTTTCAGGGAGTTGGAGAGAACTATAAGGTCTCCCCTGGGCCCCCTTTGATCCAGACTGAACTCTGCCCCAAGTCTATAGGACTGCATATAATGCAGAAAATGACCTTTACAAGCTCACCATCTCCTGAATACACTTTCCCTCCTTCCACCTTCCCCTGTGCAAGTGGGACCGCAGACATTCGCCCTCCTCCATCCTGGGAGGCAGCAGTGAGAGATCTTCCACACAGGGCAGTTTTCTTCTCATCACTGTTACGTCCTTCCTCCATGAAGCCTGGGGGCAGGTCTGGCTCTGGGGCTGGCGTCACACAAGGGCAGTCCTGAGGGCTGAAACAGCACGTTATAAACTTTCATCCCTTTGTTTACCCTCATACATCCCCATATCCTCATACATCCCTTCAAACCAGCCCCAAGGAGGTGACAGGAACCCCTCGGGCTGTCCCCATATGGGAATAGGGAGGTGACAGGCGAACTAGGGACCTCATATAGGGAGAGACAGGAGGATAAGGAGGGGAAGCGGGGCCTGGGGACTCCCACTGAGGGGTCAGTGGGACAGAGCAGCGTGGCCTCCTGAGGACAGCAAACAAAGAGCCCCAGAGAGACGGGGGGAGAGGGTGGGAGCCGAGCAGCCTAAGGACCCGTCACGAGGACGATCTGTGGAGTGAAGGAACGCGAGAACCCCCGCCGATAGGGGATCGGGCGGCCGTGACGCCCCGACCGCAGCCAAACCCCAAGGCCCCGCTCTCACCTCAGCGCTCGAACTTCGCGCTCTGGCGCTACCGGAACTACGTCACCACCGCGCCTTCACGTTAGCCGTACAACAAAATGGCGGCGCCCGTACCTCTCAGCACCCGGCATGCGCGGCCACGCCCCCCCGTACAGCAGCATGGCGGCGCCCGGGACGGCGGCAGCAGCGACGGCGGCGCTGGTGCAGTACGTGGTGCTGCGGGGAGACTTGGCCCGCTCGTGGTCGCTGGGTGCGGTGGTGGCCCAGGGGTGCCACGCAGCGCTGGCCGCCGCGCACGCGCACTGGCAGCACCCCGACACCCGCGCCTACCTGTCGGCGGGCGGCGCCATGCGCACCGTGGTGCTGGAGGTGCGCGGGGCATGGCGGGAACTCCGCGCTGTGGGGAGCGGGCGGCGGCCATTTTGGGGCGGGTCTTTTCTCGGCTCTGGGGCCCCCCGAGTCCTTCCTTTATCTGCGTGGTTGTGCTCAGTTATTTTCTCGGCTTGTATCGGTAATACTGCGTTCCTCTGTACTTGGCACTGGTGAGGCCACACCTCGAGTGCTGTGTTCTCACTGTGAGAAAGACAGCGAGGCCCTGAAGCGTGTGCAGGGAAGGGCAGCGAAGCTGTGAGGGGTCTGGAACACAGGTGTGAAGGGGAGCTGCTGAGGGCACTGCGATGGGTCAGTGTGGAGCAGAGGAGCTCAGGGGAGACGTTGGCATGCATATGCACTCATTTTCAAGGTCTCATAGATAGGTGCTAATGTCCCTTTGGACGTGCTCAGTGGTATTTAGAGTGGTCGAGTGCCCACCTACTTCTTCCCCTTTTTCACCATCATCCTCATCACGTAAAGTTTTGACTCGCTTTCATTCACTTTTCCCCAGGTTGGAAGATTTCCATTGCCTGTTAGGCCACAGGGAGCCACTGATTAAAAACAGTGTCTGTGGAACCCGAGGAAAATGTCCTTGTGCATTTTGAGGCAAAAGATAAAAGTGTTCTATTGTGACTCCAGTACTTCTCATAAGGCAAAACATTGAGGCAGAAGATAAAAGTATTCTATTATGTCCCAGTGTGCAATTATTGAGGAAAAACAAGACGGTTCACCCACTGAAGCTGAAATGAAAAGATTTAGAATTATCACTTATGGATTGCTTTTGCTAAACTAATATATTGCATCTTAAAACTAATGTACCAATCCCTATTACTAAGCAAACCAGCCTATATCAGGTTGACAGTTGGGTATGACGCCCTTAGTGGTCTTTCCAACCAGAATGATACTATGATTTTGCCCCCTGATGTGCAGAATCAAACTCTATGACCTGAATGAGGCTATCATAGAATCATAGAGTGGCCTGGGTTGAAAAAGACCACAGTGCTCATCCAGTTCCAACCCCCTGCTATGTGCAGGTCACCAACCAGCAGACCAGGCTGCCCAGAGCCACATCCAGCCTGGCTTTGAATGCCTGCAGGGATGGGGCATCCACAACCTCCTTGGGCAACCTGTTCCAGTGCCTCACCACCCTCTGTGTGAAAAACTTCCTCCTAAGATCTAACCTAAACCTCCCCTGTCTCAGTTTAAAACCATTCCCCCTTGTAAAGTAAGACTGGCTATAAAGCAATATGTGTTTATTCAGCACTGCACATGCACCAGGTGAAAGGGGGATCGCTTCTCCTAGCTTGTACACTGACAATCAAAAGCTCGTTACATATATAGGTCAAGCTCATACGTATTCAACATATTTCCTGAAGAACTCCTTTGCATATGGCCCTCACTCCTTGCGCTTGTGTAAGCTATAGGGGGCTTCTCCTGGTGGTCGCTGGGTGAGGGCTTGTAGTCTTCCTCACTATCAACTTCTAACCATCCCAGGAGGGGCTACCCCTAACCGATTTCAGCCTGTCTTGTGGTTTCCCTTATCCTTCCCTAAGGTCCTTGGGCTGTCAAGATTCATACCAAGGTTTTCTTATCTTGCTTTTACAACACCCATATGTTTGAAACTTCCTTTATCTTTGTTCACATTCTATTCACTTAATGTAATTTAACCCCTTCATGCCTCAATTCCCCCCTTTTCTTTGATCTAGCAGAGACACCTATCTGCTAGACTGTCCCATTCCTTTCAAATGATTTCTGAAAGTAGGCCCCGCTTTCTACCTTTTATCTCAGTTTGTGCCTCTTCCACTTTTCATATTCCTTCCCTGTGTTCTGACATAAGCACATTGAGCACCGTAGCACTAAAGATGTGACAGCTACCACAAAGAGTAGAGCAATACTCGCTAAGAAAAGTTGCTTCAGCTATCTGAAATTTGGTAGCCAGGTAGTAAGTCTGTCCCATAGTTCAGAGACAGCTGTTCCCCAGTCAGTATTATCCTCACTCACTTCATGTAGGGCTTTTGTTTGCTCCCAGATATTGTCTAGATCTCTTTCGACCTTCCAATCTTTACTTATGTAGGCACAAAAGCTTTGATTTATAATGGAACACACTCTCCTTTCCTTCACAGTCAACAAATCCAGCACCGTTCTATTTTGTAGTACGACTTTAGATAGGGAGGACACCTCCTCTTGGCCTGCGGAGTCTTTACTTAATATATTGGGGCTTTCTACTCTCCTTGTATTTTGATATTGGCCCCACATAGTTCTCCCTATATCTGATGGGAGTTCTTTTGGATGGACGCTTGTAGGAGATGCTAAAAATCTTCCTATACAATCTCCTTTCCAAGTTGTTGGTACCAATTTTCGATTGGTACCAATTTACCTCTCTCTCATCCCCACACAACCACGAGAAGCCCTTCCTTAATGTAAATTTGGAAATGTAAGATTGATCCAAAGTAGGTTGAATTTTGGTCCTAGAATAATAGTGCTGTTAACAGTAGCTTCCTCACCTGCACCTAAGTAAATGGACTCCCTTTGACTGCTTTTATATTTGTACTGAGCAGACCAATTTAGTGACAGGATCCCAAGCCATGGTACATCCTGCCTTTGGTAGACATGTATAGACCCAGCAGTCAGATAAGTTAAAGTTTTAGAACAGTTACTAAAAAGGAGTTCTCTTCCTAGGCTGAAACACCTCCCGTGTACATTGAGATAAAGCAAATTAGTAACCGACTCATCTTCTCTTTATGAGTTTAACTTTCAACGATACACTTTCCTTGACAGACCAAGTGGTTCCTCAGCATTTTGGAATAACCTCCTGTAACAACACTTCAGATACTCGATGTGCCTTATTAGTTCTACAAGGGAATGCCTTCGGCCACTGTAAAAAGGTACAAAAAAAGGTTAGTACCAACATACAGCGATACCCCCACTTTTCTTGGGAGTTCTGAGAAATCAACTTGCCATTATTGCCCTGGAAGGTTCTCTTTCCCAATAGACCCATTTGTACCCTGTTCCTGGTACTAGGATACTTTGTAGTGTCTGTTTGCCCAACGTATTTTCTTATCTTCCCTTAAAACCAATTTCCACAGAATACTAAAGGACATAACAGTGTGTCCATCTGGGTGTGCACCCATCTGTCAGCTTGCTCTCTTCCCTTCTAAATCATTAATTACATTCCTGTACTCTTCAGAATATTTTACAGGATCTGACTCAGGTTCAGAGATTTTAAGTTTCCCATCTGGAATTAAAGCCTTCTTCAACTACCTGTTCTGCCACCTGATCCACCATCTTATTTCCAGTTTCCTGTACAGTGTTACCTTTCTGACATCCTTTACAATATATAATGTTTATATATTATATAATGTATAATAGCCACGCTCTTTGGTAGATTTACATCTGCTGTTTTCCTTGTATGTGAGCAATCCTTGCTCTTTTCAGATGGTGCTATGAGCGTGTAGCACCCCAAATACATTATTAGCATCTGTCCATATATTTAAGGCTCTTGTCAAGGCAGTTATGTCAGCCTTCTGAGGGAAAGTTCCCAGAGGTAATGGCTGTGCTTTGATTACCTTCTCAGTAGCAGTTACTGCATATCCTGCCTTACGGTTTCTTTGTCTCACGAAACTGCTACTGTTGTCTTCTGCAACCTTCTACGGGTTTGTCCTTCAGGTCCAACCGGCTGGAATGTGCAGCTTCAGTTGTTTCAAAGCAGACAATGAAATAGTGGTTCTCCAGGAGCTCTGCTAAGGAAAGGTTGATAATATTAGTTACAATTATTTCTACATCATCCTGCTCTACCAGTCTGGCTTGGTATTTCAGAAACCTTTGGGGTGAGAGCCAATGCCCCCCTTTTACCTCCAATACAGCAGACACTGTATGAGATATTAAAACTGTTATTCTTTGGCATAGTGTAAATTTACTGGCTTCTTGGATATTGAGCACTAGTGCAGCCACCACCCTCAAACACGCTGGCCATCCCTTACTCACTTCATCAAGCTGTTTGGAGAAGTGTGCCACTGCCCTTTGATAGGGTCCAAGGTTCTTGGCAAGGACTCCCAAGGCTGTTCCTTGTTTTTCATGCAAGAAGTGCCAAAAGTGCTGATAGCCCCAAAGCAGGGGGCCTTCATGAATTCTTGTTTAAGCTGATAGAATGCCCTCTTTGCCTCCCCATCAAAAGAGCATAAAGGGGTTTACCAACGGTCCGCAGCTGTGCATCCACAGTCAGCACCATCCTGTCATTCCTAGGAATGTATGGAGTTCTTGGCAGTTTGTGGCTCAGGGGTTTGGCAGATGGCTTCTTTCCTGACAGTCCTAAGGTTTGACATCCAGCTGTAATCTCATACAAAATGAGCTATTTGTGCTTTCTGTTGAGAAACTTGATAATCATTTAAACCAAGAAACTCAGCAAACTCACAGTCCTTTGCACGCAAAGAACTTTGTTTCCATGGCATCCACGTACTGCAGTGAAGTGAAGTTTCACCCTGGGATGGAGGAACCCAAGTCCCAGGTTCACGAGTTGACCAGTTCTCAAAAATCATTGAGCTGTTCTAGCAACCCTGGGTAACACTGTCCAGGTTAACTGAATCTTTTGTCCCCATATTGGGGTTTTCTTATTCAAAGGCAAATAATTTTAGACTTCCTTTGGCAAAACCAGGCAGAAAAAGGTGTCTTTCAAATCCAGAATGGCAAACCCCACCTACTCATCCCTTAACTTGGTTAATAAAAGGCATGGATTTGCCACCATGGGTTGTATATCTTCAACGATTCTATTAATTGCCCTCAAATCTTGTACTAAGCTATAGCTCTTGCCATCCAATTTTTCATTGGCAAGATTGGAGTGTTGTATTTGGATTTCTATCCAATTAATAATCCAAAATCCAAAAAAGTGTTTATTATTTCTTTTATCCTTCTACAACCTCGTATCCTCAAAGGTCACTGCTTTACCCTGACTGGGCTGGCTTTTATCTTTAACTTGACTTCTGCATTTTTGGCTCTGCCAGGCATTCCTGATGCCTGCAACCCTGTGTATACTGATTTAGGATTTACGTAACTTCTGAGGGTACAACAATGCTTTTCCCAGTTTGTGTTAAAGCCAGACTTAACGTTTTCATTCAGTTGGTCCTGCTTGACACTTAGCTCCAATTTTCTTTACTGAATTTAATCTCTACATTCAACTGCTCTAATGCATCATGCCCAAGTAATGTTTTTTGAGAACCTGGTATATGCAAGAATTTATATATTCCTACTTGTTCTCCTAGCCTGTATTTGATTGGTCCCCAAAAAGTAAACTTCTCTTGCGAGTAGCTCCTACAACTATTACAAAAATCATCTACGGGTAATAATTCTTCATGCAGCACAGAGTAAGAGGCAGCTGTATCAGAAAATAAACCTCTTTACCCTGCTTCCTCAGCTTCTTTCAGTCCAGTGGGGGTGGAACTCTCCCTGGGCCCTTCCAGGCTCCCCCTTACCTCTTCCCTGAGGGAATCTCTGTGTCCTCAGGCCCTGTTCTAGTGCAGCAACAGTAACAGCTGCTGTTGATCTTCCCAATTTCCTTACTTGCCTGCTATCTCTGTTTCTCAATCAGTTTTTCCAGATCCCTCGCCTCTCTTCTCAGTAAGGACATCCCTGTTATACCTTGCTCAACTTTGCCTCCCTCAGCCTTTGTCTTTCCCAAACCCTTTTCACTTTCCAAATTTTCATCATTACAGAAGCTATTAACATTATATTTCAGTTTCACTCCCTCCTCTGCCCAGGCTTCCAGGGCTGACACTGGGATATCGGGTTTCCTTAGATCTCTGCAGATGAAGGCTATTCTCACTTCCAGTGTTCCATCCCATCCACTCCCAGTTGTTCTTACAAGCCATGTGGGGGGGTGGGGGGGCAGTGTTGGGTATGTGTTCTTGTGCTGGTGCAAAATCTGATATCCCAAACTCACTGTTTTCCTTAACTGTTTTGCCATCCCCCCGACCAATTTCACTATCTGTACCCTCAATTACATTTCCACGTACCGTTCACAATTGCATTTCCATGTACCATCAAAACAGTTTCTCCCACTCCCTTCAAAATCCAAAAACCAAACAATAGAATTCTTCAACTTCCACAAACACCCAGCGCTTGGTCTCATGATTAGGGTACTCAATTATAAAACTGGTCCCATTACTCCATTTATGTTCCTGGTTTTCTTATTATTATATTCCCCCTGGCTCACCAGCAATGTTTCTCCAGTGAGCCAAAATACAACCCAGGGGGTCTTCTCATATCACTGTAGACACCTCTTGTTCCATAAGAGCCTCTTAAGTAACACTTTAACAACATAAACAGTGAACAATCACAAAGACAGTGACAATCTGTACAATTTATCCTCAGGATCCTTCTTCTCTCTGCCTTCCTCCAGGGCCAACCTTCCCTCTGCATTTCTTTCCCACACTTGCATAGATGCCCACCTAATCACACCTCCTTCTTCTCCAATAAACAACATATCAGTGATAAACATCATTTCCATCCATGAGAAGAAATTAGGCTCTAGAAATTGATCTAATCGTTCTGCTACACTTACAAGGTCCTCAATTAAGGAATTCATTTCCTTCTTGAAACTTCTAACTTTTCTGCTAGTAAGATCAGCAGGCATCAGCATACCCTATTTCCTTTGACCTAAAGAGACTTCCCTAAGAGGATACAGTGAAGTATTAGTAAGGTTAGTGTTAGAGAAAGGGAAACTCTCCAGGTCCCATTCACATTGCTCCAGCTCCCTCACTAATTGAGAGTGCATCCTCTCTCCAGCACCCTGCATGGGATCAGCAGCACGGCCTCTCCCCTTCTCTGGAGAGGGAGGTCACTGCATCTTACATTGCTTTAGAAATCGAAGGGGGGGAAGTTATCTAAGGGATCCCATTTATGATCTTTCTGCTTCTCCTTTTTCTTTTGAACTTCGACTCCTTCTTGTGAAGAACTGTTTTACTTCTTGCACCCATTTAGCGGCAAAAGCCAGTTCTGTTTCAGAGAGTTTGCATATAAAGTCTGACATGCCCAATCTTTGTCAGACCCTTATTTTGGTCAAAATAATGACTTTCCCTGTAGTGGCTCTCTAGGCTATGTCTGTATACAGTATTTAAACATCTTTTCCCTCTTCTTGTCCCTAGTTTTGGGATTATTTTCCAATTCTGAAGCTTCTTTCCCAAGGGGCTATCTCTAGGCACGAATTTGGGGACCCTTTTCCCCTGTTCTTGGAAGCTCCTATTCCCCATCCCTCTGGAACACTGCTGTGAATTCCCCAGCTCACAGGTTACCACACTCCAATTCTCCCTCCAATTCTCAGATTCAGTAGGGCTGTACTGCTGCCACTTTGTCAAGTGCACAGGGTACCACACAGCAACAGCTTCCTGCTGAGACTCACCCTGACCCCCAAGGCAAGAATTAAATTCCATTACCTTGGTCCGTGCACAAAGTTACTGGGTCTGCAGGGATCAATACTGTGCTTACCTGCCCCTTGGCTTTCACATATCCTGTCCTTTATGCAACAGTATCAGTTTCCTATAGGCCATCCCAAGGAGGCACCTCACCACCCAGACAAGACCACTGTAATCAGCAGGGTGCACCTATCCTGTCCAGAGCAGTAGGGGGACCCCGAAAGAGGTGACAGTAATCCTGAACAAGCCCCCAAATTGTTGGAAATATCCAAATAATTTTTGTCAGGATGGTATCTCTGATAAAAGCAGATTTTATTCATGATTGCAATGGCAGTTGTCTCACAAGCAGGAGCATCCCTAAGGACACAAGGACAGCTTTTTGTACCTCATTTCCCCCTCTTGTCTCCCCCCCCCTCCCCTGTTTCCCCATTGGCTGGGTACTCCAGGTTCACAATCTTATCAAAGGTTTACATGTGTTAATTGCTTGCTATACAGCAGTTGTTGGTAGCTTATACATGTACATTGTTCATTATTTAACTTCTCCAATTCTCTATTACTCAGGTCTTGTCTGCTCAGCACCAAATATTAGTAAGGCTAAAGCTGGACAGACAGGAGCTGCAGTTTTTGTGCCTGTAAACCTACTGAGATCAGGAATTGAGTAAAGCAGGGCCACTCACATAAGGGTTAAGTAGACTAAACTTAGAAAAACAATAAGGGAAGACCAGCAGGACTTGTGGACCTCTTTGCAGTCAGGACCTTATGTCTTGCAATCTACCCCTTATAAGGGGAAGAACAGCCTAAAGCAACTGATTTTGACCAGTTTGAATGGGGGGGCTATTGTAATGTAAAAAGGTCAGGCTGAGGAAGACCTCTGACTTCATCCCCACGACCACCAGGTGGAGACCCTCCCTACGAACTGCACACGCATCAGAGGGGGGGACAGCAATGAGGTCGCAGAAAAACAATGAATATGTAGATGAGCTCCAAGGAATCTTCTGAGTATGTATAAAATCTGCTTGTAAATCTGTACAGCTTTTGCTTGTTGGTGTGCAAAGTAGTTGGAATGATCCCCCTTGCACCCAACGTTTGCGCATTCGCCGAATAAATCATACCTGCTTTATAACCTAATCTCCAGGTTATAGAGTTTGATTCCACAAGTCACTACTCCAGCTACCTAAACTCTATGATTACAAATTACTTTGCCTATATTTTGAGCATGCATTCCTGGGGAAGGTTCATCTAAAAGATAAGTGATAAAAACTACCAGAGATTCCCCAAAAGAACTAAAAGAACTATGACAGCAGAGACCATAAAATAAAAATTCTTATATTGTTCTAATGCAGAAAAAACATTTGATTCCCACACTACTGCTAAGCAAACCAACCTGTATCAGGTTGACAGTTGGTCTTGATGCCCTTAGCAGCCTTTCTAACCCAAATGATACTATGATTTTGCCCCCAAGCTCTTATTAACAGTAGAGGTTGCTGTGACCCAGGTGCAGCCCTTGCACGTGGTGTTGCTGAACCTACAAGAATTGGAGCTAAGAAATGTAAGAGTGCACCTGTGGACATACAATATGACAGCTTTTGTACCTTGTCTCCCCCAAGCTTCCCCCCTCCCCTGTTTTCCCATTCTCTGGGTACTCCAGGTTCACAATCTTACTGAAAGTTTACATCCGTTAATTACATTCTGACAGTTAGTTCACAGTCTGTCTTGTTGCCATTCTGTTGTTTCCAGGATGTCTCAGTACTCTCCTTATCGTATTGACAGGGTGAATCTCTCCAAGGCCTCTTCCATTCTGTCCAAAGGACGCTCCATGTGTTAAACAAAGAGCACTGGGGGGTTATCAGGTCTTCCCTTTGCTTCTTCAGGCAGGCATGTTCCAAGTTGTATCAATCTCTTGTGCAGGATATTCTTGCAATGTGTAGAGCATGCAACAAGGTATTACATATATATTCATACTGACTAAACATAAATTTGCTAACTATACATTTATATTGCTAATTATTTAACTTCTCCTCCTTAAATTTTCTATCACTCAGGTCTTGTCTGTCCTGCACCAAAAATTAGTAGTCTTCCAACAGAACGAGCCTATTGATATCCTTGTCAAGTATTTTTGATTTGTAAAGGCATTATCACACTGTTTAGGAGTGGGATGTTTAACTTTTCTTTAGCTCAAGGCTCAGAAGTATTCCAGATGGCTGGACAGACAAGAGCTGCAGTCTTTGTACCTATACATTACCCCATTACCTCATCTCTGTGACTCAGGTGTATATGCCCGTTCATCAGTTAGCTCCTTTCCTTCTATATCATTAATTAAATCCCTATCCTCTCTAGAATACTTTGCAGGTTCTGATTCAGGTTTGGAGATTTGAAGTTTACCGTCTGGAATTAAAGTTAGTACAGTGATTTCTTTTCCTTCAGTTGCCTGTTTTGCCACCTTATTTCCAGTCTCCTGTACAGTGTTACCTTTCTGATGTCCTCTGCAGTATCTAATAGCCACTCTGGTAGATTTAGAGCTTCCCATAGATGCAGGATTTCCTTGGCATGCTTAATTTGTTTTCCTTGTGCTGTGAGCAATCCTGGCTCTTTCCAGATGGCACCCTTAGCATGTACCACCCTAAATGCATATTTAGAATCTGTCCATACGTTTATGCTTTTTCCTCTTGCCAACTCTAAAGCTCTTGTCAAGGCAGTTATTTCAGCCTTCAGAGCAGAAGTCCCCACGGGTAATGGTTGTGCTTTGATTACCTTGTCAGTAGTAGCTACTGCATATCCTTGTCTCACAAAACTGCTTCGTCTGTGAAGCAGGAATCCTCAGCATGATCCAATGGTTCCGCCTTTGGGTCCGGCCCACTGGCACAGGCAGTCTCCATGCTTTCCAAGCAGTCGTGCACTACTGGCTCAGAGGTGGCTCCCTGAGGAAAGATGCTGCGTTCACAGTGAGAGAATAACCAAAATGGTTTTGTACTGTCCAGGAGGCCTAGGGCTGGAGCTCTCATTGGTTCCTTCTTCAATTCTTCAAATGCCCTCTTTGCCTCACCAGTCCATGTCAGCACAGACTGATTATTTTTCAGTAATTCATATAAAGGTTTTACCAAAGGCCCATAATTATAGATCCATAGTCTGCACTAACCTGTCATGCCAAGGAAGGTTCTGAGATCTTTTACCATCTGCAGTCTGGGTGTTCAGCAAATCACTTCCTTTTGTTCTGTTTCAACTTCTCTTTGTCCTCCCAGGATCTCAAATCCAAGGTAAATCACCTGCTGCTGAATTCACTGAGCTTTCTGTTGAGAAACTCGATAACCATTTAAACCAAGAAAATTAAACATGCTCACAGTCCACTATACACAGTCCTCTTGTTATTGTGGCAGTGAGGAGGTCGTCCACGTAATGCAATAAAGTTCCACTTGTGAGTGGAGGGCCCAAGCTCTGAGCTCACGAGCCAGCTGGTTCCCAAGAACTGTAGGCTGTTCTTAAGACCCTGGGTAACACTGTCCAGGTTAACTGAGCCCTCCCAGTATTGGGGTTTTCCAATTCAAAGACAAGTAACTTTGCACTTTCTTTGGCTAAAGCCAGGCAAAAGAAGGCATCCTTCAAATCCAGGACGGTAAACTACACCTGCTCATCCCTCAGCCTGGTTAATAAAGGGTACAGATTTACCACCCTATATCTTCAGCCATCCTAGTGATGGCCATCAGATCCTGCACCAAGCAACAGCTCTTGCTGTTTGACTTTACACCAGCAAGACTGGGATGTTAGAGTCAGATTCACATTCAGTTACTAATCCAAACTCCAGAAAGTTATCTGTTATTACTTTTATTCCTTTATGATCTTGTATCCTCAAAATGTGCTGCTTTACCCTGACAGGGCTGGCTCATGTTTTTAACTTATCAGGGCTGCATTTTTGGTTCTGCTTGGCATCCCTGACATCCACACACCTAAATGTTCCTCATTCAGGATTTCCATAATTTCTGGGGATATCACATTGTTCTTCCCAATCTGTGTGAAAGCCAGGTTTAAAATTTCAATCAATTGGTTTTCCTTGACCCCTAGCTCCAATTTTCCTTTGTTGTATTTAATCTCTGCATTCTATTGTTCTAATAAGTCTCACCTGAGTAACAGTGTCAGAGAACCTGGCTTGTACAAGGATTTATGTATTCCTGCTTGCTTTTCCATTCTGTATTTAATTGGTTTTGAAGAGTAGCCTTTTCTGGTTGTCCCTGGATAAATTAATTGAGGAGGCTCCCACTACTGTTACAATATCAGCATCTACGGGTGATACTTCTTCATTTAGCACAGAGTAAGAGGCACCCGTATCCACCAGAATATTAACTTCCTACCCTGCTCCCCTAGCTGCAATGTAACCAGGGGGTCTGCTAGGGTAGACTCCCCTGGTTCCTGTCATCCCTGCCATCAGGGATGGTTCCTCCCCCTCAGCCTGGGACAGCTTCTCCACCAGTGTCCCATTTCCCTGCAGTTTGCACACTGATTCTGGTCCAGTGGGGGATGAAACCCTTCCTGGACCCTTCCAGAACCCCCTCTGCCTCTTCCTTGTGGTGGTCTCTGGGTCCCCACATCATGCTCTAGTGCTATTCTTCTTCTCAGTTTCTTTCTTTCCTTTCTATCCCTGTTTCTATACACTCTCCAGGCCTCCTCAATTAATTTATCCAGGCCCATTAATTCTGATGCTTTTAGCCTCTGAAGTTCCTTCCTGATATCCTCAGAGGATTGGCTCAGAAACAATGATGCCAACATGCGTTGCCCGCTATCTGATGAGGGATCCAAAAGAGTATATTTTCTCATGGCAGACCTGAGATTATCCAAAAATTCAGTAGGGGTTTCGGTCTGCCCCTGTTTGACTGCATATACAGCTGACCAGTTTGCTGCTGGTAGTGGGATTGCATTCTCTAAACCAAGTTTTATCCACTCTCTGTATTGCTTTAACAGCTGATATTCGGCAGGATCATTTGGGTTCCATTTAGGATCTTCTAAGGGGATGTATTGTTCAAGCCTTCCCCACAGGGCACCAGCAATGATTCGTGCCTGCACTTGAGTCTGAGCACTCCTCAATACCAGCTGCTTTTCTGGTTCAGACATGAAATCGAGCATTATGTCTATATCCCTCCAATTAAGATCCTGATTTTTAACAATCAACTCAAACCTTTTTGCCACCCCTGAGGGATCATTCCCGTAACTTTTCACTGCTTCCTTCCAGCTATCCAAATCACTTGTAGAGAATGGGGCCTTGATTTTCACTGGTCCCTTTGGTCCTACAACCTGCATTAGAGGTGCCAGTATTACAGGTTCCTTTTTGCTGCCATTTCTTGTAGTGATTTGAGAACCCCCCCCGGCTGCTCCTGCCTCCTTTCGATCTGCCTTTGCTTCCTGTTCTTCCTCATCTGAGAATCCCTTCTGCTTCTCAGCCTGCGGAGACACATCGTCTTCTAATCTTTCCTTTCCACCTCCATTTCTCAGACACTTCTCTCCTATGCTGCAAGCTGAGCAACACTGCTTTAACGTTCCATTAGGCCTCTTCTGCTCTTTCTCTAGAGCCAGCACTAAAGGACGCTGTGGAGCCCAGTTAATTCTACATCCTTTCTGCCATTCAGGGTGGTTTCGTAAAGTGAAAAACATATCGGCATATGGCACCTCGTCCCATTTCCCTTCTCTCCTCAAAAACAACATAAGTTCCAGCATAGTCTTATAATTCAGAGTTCCATTAAACGGCCACCTTTCCTGAGATTCCAGCTTATACGATGGCCAGCACTGGTTACAGTATTTGATCAGAGTTTTCTTGTTTATGTTTCCCCCAGGAGGTCCCCCAATATCCCTCCAATGAGCCAGCACACATCCCAGGGGGCTCTGCTTCACAATTCCCTTGCTCTGTTTGCCACCCATTATATGCAGTTCAGATGAACGTACACTTAGCAGAATCACTGTTACAAAGATGCCTCAAACTCCACCGATTCTAATTCCGTATACCATTAAAACAATTTATCCAACTCCCTCCAGAAATTACAAGTAAAGCAGTGAAGCTATTGCCTAAAGTTCTGATCTACCCAGCACTGAGCCCCACAAATGGGACACTTGCTTATAGGAATGGGTCCTGTTGTTGTGTACCCGCTTCCTTAGGCATTAAGCAGAATACAATACGTTGAACAAAGCAAAAAGTTACAGAAGCTGAATTTCAAAACCCATACATGACCAGCAAGACACAACCTACAGCTGGGTATTTTCCAAATGTCTACCAACCCGCTCTATGCCAACCCTGCGACCTCAGCCAGCTCACGGCTGGCTTCCAATGGTCCCCAAAGCAGCCCCGCAATCTCGGCTGGCTCACGGAGCAGCCTCCAATGAACCAGTCCCAGAACTTGAAAGCAAAGAATACCTTTGTCAGATGTTCCCTGTCTGCTCCCGCAGCGATCCGATTGAGGCGAGGAGTCCCTCCAGAGAACTCTCCAGGGGTGCCCAGGGAGTCCTGTTCTCAACGGGTCCTGCAGCTGAGCAGAGATGTTCCCATCTGCAGTGCCCAACTGGCTCAAAGAATCGCAGCGAGGAACTGAGCAGCCAAGTTTTGTTACTGTTAAGCAGGTATTCTTTGATAGCGGGGCTGGGAAGCACTGGGGATAATTCCACCATAAGTGCTTCTGAGATTACATGAGATCAGAGCTCGTTATATTTCCGCAGGTCCTACATATTCATAATGCCTTCACGAGATAATTAACGTATACACGCCTCTCAAGTAATAAGTGAGAAAGAGTTGTTCTATTCCATGGGCTCTGCAGCCACCTAGTGTCCTTTTAGCACCATGACAACCCACTCAGCAGCGTGTTTACTTCCTCCAGAGGTCTTCCTCGCTTGCCCTCTGGATGAACTCTCTTCATTGTTGTATGCTCAGGAAGAGAATGCCCATTAGAAGTAATTTATAGGTACCAAAATTGTAACATTTGCCCACTCAGCCATTATTTCTGAACATCTGCTGGTTCTGGGATAGAGGTAAGTTGGGCATCGTGTCTTTTAATGATATACTGGTGTTTGGGGAGATAAGGAGGATCGGACCTGCCTGCTGCATTCCAAGCTGCTCCTGTAATGGGGCATTTCGACCTTGTGTGGAGGCCCTGGCTTCTCTGATGCGTGAGAAGCCTGCTTGTGCTCTTTTATTATTGTGTATCTTTTGCTGCAGGTTCCTGGTGTGGGAATCAAATGTTGTTTCTGCATTAGAATAAGGATTTTTATTTTATGGTCTATGCTGCCATAGTTCTTTTCAGGAGTCTCTGATAATTTTCATCACTTATCTTGTAGATGAACCTTCCCCAGGAATGCATGCTTAATATATAGGCGAAGTAATTTGTAATCATAGAAGTTAGGTAGATGGAGCAGGTTTACAGGCACAAACACTGCAGCTCCTGTCTGTCCAGCCTTACTAAAATTTGGTGCTGGGCAGACAAGACCCGAGTAATAGAGAATTGGAGAAGTTAAATTATGAGCAACATACATATATAAGCTACCAACAACTGCTGTATAGCCAGCATGAAAAGATATGTTACACACATTGCAAGAATATCCTGCACAAATTGAAAAGACAAGTGTTGAAATGCCTTAGGGGTTGCCTAAAGAAGGTATTGAGGGAGGCCTGGCACCCCCCCTACCCCCTTGGTACTCTTTCTTTAACAAAGACTTTGAAGACAACACGAATTAACAAGTAATTAACAAATGTTAACCTTCAATAAGACTGTCAACCTGGAGTACCCACCCAGTGGGGAAACAGGAGGTGATGTGGGAATGGAATATTGCTTCTGCATTAGATATTAAAAAGGGCAATTGATCTGAAGAAGTAGAACATCATGTATTTGTATTCTGTAACTTACCCTTAGAAATAGTTGATGTCAAAAGTAGGAGTGCCGTGTATGTTAGTAGCATATTTTAGAAGCATAGTTGTTAAATTATGTGGTTAATTCTTTCTTGCAAAACTGCAAGTTCCAAACAATGTGGGTATAGTATTAGGGACTAGGAAACATATTGTAGGGTTGTTCTGTTAGGATAGGAGAGTCCCAGCAAAAGAAAAACAGATTTAACAAACATCAAAGAAGCCAGGGCCTCTACACAAGACCGGGCTGTCTCACTCTGTGGGAGGAATGGGATGCAACAGGCAGGCATCAAGATACTCCCTATCCTCCTTCCGAGCTTATCTCTATGCAAGGAAGGACAAGCAGATGTCCAGAAGCAATGACCAAGTGTGGAGTGAATAAGTGTTAGAAGTTAATTAAATCACTCGAGGTTTATGCTTAGCCAGCAAAGATTTATGTTTATCCAGTATCCGTATGTTTTGTTAAGCATCAGGAAGTTTGTGAACCTGAAGTTCTCAGCCAATGAGGAACCAGGGGAGAAGGAGATAAGTGTTGAGTAATAGAGCATAAAAGATGTAACACTGTTTTCAGTGTGCACTCCTGCTTGCAGGAGACCCGCCATTGCAATTGCAAATAAAATCTCCTTTATCAGAGATACCATCCTGATAAATTATTTGGATATTTCCAACATTTCCCACTCTGGTTAAGGCAGAATTGATATAGGTTGGTTTGCTTACCAACCACTTGCTACCTAGGTACTGCCAGCTCTCACAGCACGCTTTGTCTGTCCCCAGGCTCCGGATGAAGCCGCTCTGACCGCGCTGGCACAGACCCTGCAGCAGCACAGCATTGACCACGAGGTGTGGACAGAGCAGCCTGAGAACATCCCCAGCTGCCTGGCGCTCAGGCCCTACCCAAAGGACCAAGTGCACCCTCACCTGAAGAAGTTCAAGTTGCTGAAGTGACCCCTGCTTTCCTGCAAGCCCTCCTCCTGTACCACTGTTTCACTTGCCCCTCGGTGGAAGCACTGTGCTAATGTCTGTCAGCCTTCTTGTTGTGCAATAGCACTTAAAAAGTGTAAAACAGATCTTTGCTGGAGAGGATTAAAGATTCTTTGCAACGTGTGACTGTGAGTTACATGGAGTCGCTGTGTCTGTATACAGTCAGTCTGCTTGTGCATCTCCACCCTGCCAGAGCAGGCACTTCTAGGGAATGCCACACTCAGAAGTGCTGCTGGTGCTTCTTAGGATTTATGCTTCCTGAGCAGATCTTGTTTTGTCTGACATTAGCTTGAATTTCATAGAATCATAACACTGTAGAATCATAGAATGGTCTGGGTTGAAAAGGACCACAATGATCATCTGATTTCAACCCCCTGCTATGTGCAGGGTCACCAACCAGCAGACCAGGCTGCCCAGAGCCACATCCAGCCTGGCCTTGAATGCCTGCAGGGATGGGGCATCCACAACCTCCTTGGGCAACCTGTTCCAGTGCCTCACCACCCACTGGCTGAAAAACTTCCTCCTAAGATCTAACCTAAACCTCCCCTGTCTCATTTAACATGAATTTAACATGATCCTTCCTGCTTTGGTGCTGGTTGGACTGTGATGAGGCATCCTCCCATGGCTCTGACATTTCAGAACTGTTTCTCCCCCCCACCCCATGGGGAGCGCACAGACCATGAGCTGCCAACCTCACCAACACCCTTGTCCCCACCTCGTGTCACCCAGGCTGTGGCACTTTGGTTGTGGTCACTGTGACACGGTGACCCTACAGCAGCTGGAGCCCGCGGCTCACTCCAACCAGAGCTCTGTTTGTCTGGTTTTGTTTGCAGCAAATCCCTGCCAAGAGCTTTGCAAACAGCAGACGGCAGCATCAGCCAGCGAGCTGGGACTCAGCACAGCCCTCATCCCACTGATCCCTGCTTCGTTTCAACAAAGTGTAAGAAAGAAAAGCGAGAGCAGGACCGGGAGAACCCCAGCAGCTGTGATGCTCTTCCCCACCCGCTGCTTCCAGCACCCAACATGGCAGAAAACCACCAGCAAGGAGGTACAGCACCCAAGTACCCACCCTTCTGCCCCTCTACAATGCTAAAGCACCCCAAAACATTGTAGGGCTTTGGGGCTGGTTGGGAGGAACAAACATTGTAGGGTTCGGGGCTAGCTGGGAGGAACAAACACTGTAGATTTTGGGGGCTGGTTGGGAGCAATAGACACTGTAAGGCATTTAGGTTGGTCGGGAGGACCCCAAACATTATAGGGATTTTGGACTGGTTGGGAGGAACAAACACTGTAAGGCTTTTGAGTTGGCTGGAAAGACCCTAACATTGCAGGCTTTTTGGGCTGGCTGGGAAGAACAAACCAGCTTTGGGACTGGTTGGGAGGACCCAAACACTGTACGGCTTTGGGGCTGGTTGAGAGGAACAAATATTGTAGAGTTTGGGAGCTGGTTGGAAGCAACAGACTTTGCAGGGCATTTGAGTTGGCTGGGAGGACCCAAACACTGTAGGGTTCTTGTGTTGGTTGGAAGGACCTCAACATTGTAGAGTGGGGGCCTACGATCGGCTTTGGGGCCAACTGGGAAGACCCAAATGCTGTAGGATGCAAGGGCTGTTTGGGAGAACCCAAACACTGTAGGGTTTTTGTGCTGGTTGGAAGGACCCAAACACTGTAGGGCTTTGGGGTCAACTGGGAGGACCTAAACACTGTAGGATTTTCTGAGCTACTTGGAAGGACCCAAACACGGTAGGGCTTTGGGGCTGGTTGGGAGGACCCACCACCTCTGGGTGGTGCCCAGTGATGGGCCAAAAGCACGATGCTTTATGGCCAGGACCTTTACCCCACAGTGACCCCTCCATGGCTCAGCCCCATCACCCCAGCACCCATCAACAGCACATTTCTCCAAGGATGCGTTCGGCACAGAGACAACGAAACGTCAGCTGGCAACTCCGGTTCTTTTGTCTTTTTTTTTTTTTTTTCTCTCTTTTTTTTTTCTTTCTTTTTTTTTTTTTGTCATCTTTAACTCTTGCAAATGTCAATCAACAAAGCTACACATTTGTTTTCCACACACCAGCGCGATTGGAGAGGGAGAGAGGGAAAAAAAAACCCATCGCCCCCCGCTCTCATAAAAGTCAACAGTGAATATTAAAAGCGACCCCCAACTAAAAGAGAAGAAAACAAATTTGTACAGAGCTCAGAGCTATTTACAGTGACAGGCTCGAGGGAAAAAATAAGCTATCTCCCGACAGAGAATTCAATTATTATTATTATTTTATTATTATTATTTTAAATAGTTTAAGCTACCTCAGCTGTTAAACACAATCAAAGCAGAAAGAACCGACTGCTTAATTTTATTTAATATTTAATCAGAAAATTTTATCTACAATAATTGACAGAACCCTCCCCCCATCCTTCCCCCTAAAAATTATTGCAGTTTTTTGCCCCAAACTGTTCTTTTTTTTTTTTTTTTTTTTCCTTTTTTTTTTTTTTTTTTTTTTTTTTTTTTTTTTTTTTTTTTTTTTTTTTTTTTTTTTTTTTTTTTTTTTTTTGCCTATTAGTTTTTCCCCCATTGCAATATACACATCATCAGCCCCCCGTTCCATCGGGCGACCGAAACCAGCAGAAAACATGGAAAAAAAAACAAACAAAAAAAAAACAGTGGGTCAAAATACTCTTTGCTTTCGTAGGTTGCTTCTTCTTCTTTTTTTTTTTTTTGTCTTTTTCTTTTTTCTTTTTTCTTTAAAACCGACAAACTCACGATTGCTAGAAAAAGCTGATTGTACGCACAAGCGGGTCGGGGTGGAGGGAAGAGAAGGTTTGTTGTTGAAGCGTGACTCAACCCGGCCTTGTCTGCAGAAATCCAACGTCCATCCCCATCTGTGCCCCGTGCCGAGACGTCATCAGTGACAGATCCAGCTGAAACTGAGCTCGCTCTTCCTCCTCCTCCTCCTCCTCCTGCGCTGCCGCCGCAGTCCTCCAGCTGCCTTCTCCCCCTCCCCTCCCGCCTCCCCGAGAAACCTTCGTCCAGATTAAGAAGCCAGCGAACTGATTACAAAAATAAGAATCATCTCTAAGTTTGGCTCAATGAAACCGACTGTCCCGCCTCGTCGCCAACGCCCAACGCTTTGTGTTTTTTTTTTGTGGTTTGGTTTGTTTTTTTTGTTTTTTTTTTTCTGTTTGTTTGTTTTCTAAAAAAAAACGAGGAGGAAAAAAAAGGGGGTGGGAGGAAGAGAAGGGGGAAATGGGGAAAAAAAGGGAAAAATGGGGGAAAAAATGGGGAGAAAAGGGAAACAAAGGGGGAAAAAAAGGGGGGAAAAAATGGAAACCGAAGGGGAAAAAAAGGAGGGGAGGAGGGAGAGAAGAGGGGGGAATAAACAAAACCCACAAAAAGAACCCCCCAAACAAAATGAAACAGCCCCCCTCCCCCCTTTTTGCTCCGAACACTACGAGCTGAAGAATGGCTGCGGTTTGAGATATCAAAAATCTCAGAAAAATATATAATATATATATTTATATATCTCTGTACGTCTCATTATTTAAATTTTTTTTTTTCTTTTTTTTTTCTTTTTCTTTTTTTTTTTTTTTTTTTTTTCACATTCCTCGAAAAGCGGTTATTCAGTCAGTAGCTGCTGAAGAAGGCTCTTCTGTTGGCCCTGCGGGGTCGGCGGCACCGCGGCGGCTTTCGGGGCGCCCAGGGGAGCCGGCGGGTTCAGGTAGGGATCTCCTACCAGATTCACTGTACACTGCACGTCGGCAAACACCTGAACCTGCTGTACCTGCTGGGACACAAAAGACAAGAGGGGCTCTTAGCGGGGATGGGGCAGGGGCCGGCGGCGACGGACTGGGAACTACGTGAAGTGGAAACTCACTAGAGACTTCCTCTAGTCTGGAGCCACCACAGAGAAGAACTCTTCTGTCTTCTTTTCCTACAAAAAGAAAACCGCTGCACTCATTCGGATCAGAGCTCGGCAAGGTTCACACGTTGCTCATTCGGAAAAAAATAATAATGATTAAAA